ATAGTACAATCTAAGTTATAGAATTAGAAAAGACTGGGTTCACACTGCTGATGTGAATATAAAATGGTACAACCACTTTGGAAATCAATTTGGCACTTCCTTAAAAAGCTAGAAGTAGAAGTACTATACGATCCAGCAATCCCACTCCTTGGAATATATCCTAGAGAAATAAGAGCCATCACATGAATAGATATTTGCACACCCATGTTCATTGCAGCACTGTTCACAATAGCAAAAAGATGGAAACAACCTAGGTGCCCATCAACTGACAAATGGATAAACTATGGTATATTCACACAATGAAATACTACGCAATGATAAAGAACAGCGATGAATCCGTGAAACATCTCATAACATGGATGAATCTGGAAGACATTATACTGAGTGAAATTAGTCAGTCGCAAAAGGATAAATATTGTATGAGATCACTATTATAAGAACTCAAGAAAAGGTTTAAACACAGAAGAAAACATTCTTTGATGATTATGAGGATGGGGGGAGGAAGGAAGAGGGGAATTCACTAACTAGATAGTAGATAAGAATTATCTTAGGTGAAGTGAAGGACAATACACAATACAGGGGAGGTCAGCACAACTGGACTAAACCAAAAGCTAAAAAGTTTCCTGAACACAACCAAACACTTTGAGGGACAGTGTAGCAGGGGCAGGCGTAGGACCATGGTTTCAGGGGACATCTAGGTCAACTGGCATATCAAAGTTTATTAAGAAAATGTTCTGCACCCCACTTTGGTGAGTGGCGTCTGGGGTCTTAAAAGCTAGCGAGTGGCCATCTAAGATGCATCAGTTGGTCCCAACCCACCTGGAGCAAAGGAGAATGAAGAACACCAAAGACACAAGGAAAGTATTAGCCCAAGACACAAAAAGGGCCACATAAACCAGAGACTCCATCAGCCTGAGACCAGAAGAACTAGATGGTGCCTGGCTACCACCAGTGACTGCCCTCACAGGGAACACAACAGAGAGTCCCTGACGGAGCAGGAGAAAAATGGGGTGCAGATCAGATTCTAGTAAAAAGACCAGACTTAATGGTTTGACTGAGACTGGAGGAACCCCAGAAGACATAGCCCCCAGACTCTGTTAACCCAGAACTAAAACCATTCCCAAAGCCAACTTTCAGACAAAGATTAGACTGGACTATAAGACATAAAATGATACTTGTGAAAGGTGTGCTTCTTAGCTCAAGTAGATACACAAGACTAAATGGGCAGCTCCTGTCCAGAGGCGAGATGGGAAGGCAGAAAGGGATAGGAGCTGGTTGAATGGACACAGGAAATCCAGTGCAGAAAGGGGGAGTGTGATCTCAAAGTATAGGGTAGCAATTAGGGTCACATAAAAATGTATAAATTTTTGTATGAGAAACTAACTTGAGCTGTAAACTTTTACCTAAAGCACACACACACAAAAAATAGTAAGTCAGAAAAAAAAAAAAAAAGACTGGATTCAAGGCCAAATCTGCAAATTCTTACCCATGTGACTTTGGGAAGCTCTTTTAAACTTTATTTTATGAATTAGGAAATTTAAGCCATAGGTGTCTAAGTGATTTGTTCAGGGTGATAATAGAAATTAGAACTAGTGATAAAATTCTATTTGAATTCTTATCCGTGTACAAAATTTTTTTTACATAATGTTTTGAATATTCATAGCAATAAAAATATTTTATAGGTATTTTAACTTGTGGCAATTTCATTCATGTGAGAATAACAGGTGTATGTTTTATTTAAATAGTATTAGTGAGATCTCTACCTTTTAATTCTGGCTTTTTCTTAGATTATTTAACCACTTTAGACCTCCATTTTTAGTCTGCAAACATGAGTAGATAGCTTTCCTTTGTTTTTCCCAGGATATTCTGTGTATAATTTCAGTTACATAAATAACATGGTGTTTCTCAAATAGAATTATTGATAAAAAGAACCTTAAGAGAACAATTTACTGCCAATTTCATGGAACGAGAGCTTCTTTTAGTAATGTTCCATTTTATTAGTGCCTTTTGATGGAAGAAAAATATTTTTTCATGGGTAGTCTGAAAAAGCTACTTCTGGGCCGTATTGTTTTGTTCAGACCACTACAATGCCATAATAAAAAATGAAGTAGATACTATCTGAAAGAGATTGAGCATAATTTTCCTACAGTGAAATGTATAACTCATGTCTTTGTGTGGAGGTTTTAATTTTATAGACCAGCTTATTTGTATTCCAGGAGGCGGTATGATGTACTGAAATTAGTTCATTCTTGACCCATAGTTAATAGTTTACAATAAGCTGTGATGTTCCTTGACTCTTTGATTTGATATAACTTGACCTGTAAAACAAAATCTGTATGAAGAGATACGTATGTGTGTAGAAAAAATATAAATTATCACAAAACAAAGTCTGAAAGTTTGAAGTGAATAATCATGAAGGTCATATAGCCCTTTTTGTTTTTCAGGGTATAATTCCCCTCCATGATACCCCTGATCTAGATGGACATCAGTGCTCTTCATGAATAGTGGTCATAGTTGTGATCTTACTCTCAAGGCAGCTATTTAAGACAGCCATTCAATTTTTAGAATGCTCCATTAATTAGAAAGTTGTTCCTAATTTTGTTCTTTACTGTTTCCTACTAATTCTACCCTTTGGTTCATTTGACCCTTAGAGCTTCATAGAATGAACTAAGCTTTGTTCTATATATGTGCAGGGACCATGTCTTAATCATCTTTCCATCCTTAGAGGCTAGGATAGTAAATGCCCAGCAGATAGTAACTGTATAAAATACAGTTTTTCTTGTGTATAATTGAGGTTCAGATTTTTTATCAAGATACTTACATATATTGTATTCATATATAAAGTTTTAACTTAATACTTTTATTACTTCTGGTAAAAAATTTAATGTTTAAAGCCGTATTGACAAAATTAAACAGAGAAAATATAAATATGTTTACACTTGATTATCACTTATTATATAAATCTAGAACTTTATGATTTTTTTTCCAAGGATAGAATTTAAAAATTCAGTATTACTTTTATTTATTCCACTCAGTTCTTCTTGTATCATAATCTGTTTCCAAAGTTTGAGGATATATTTTTTTTTATTTCTTGTACTTCTTTTTGCCATACCTTTCTCACTCATACAGGGAATTATGTTTCTATAATGTTAGTAAAATAAATGCTCCAATTAATTGACTTATTAGCCTGGACAAGAGTAAACAACATCTAACTATATGCAACATCTAACAGTATGGATTACACCTCAACATAAAGAAAACAAAAATCCTCACAAATGGACCAATAAACAATATCATGATAAACGACATATTGCATTGAGCAAATATGATGCAAAAGACCTCTTTAAAGTGTTGAAAAGCAAAGATGTCACTTTAAGGACTAAGATGCGCCTGACCCAAGCCAGGGGATTTTCAATGGTCTCATATGCATGCGAAAGCTGGACAATGAATAAGGAAGACTGAAGAAGAATTAATGCCTTTGAATTATAATGTTGGCAAAGAATATTGAATATACAATGGACTGCCAGAAGAATGAACAAGTCTGTCTTAAAAGAAGTACAGCCAGAATGTTCCTTAGAAGCGAGGATGGCCAGACTTTGTCTCATGTACTTTGGACATGTTATCAGGAGGGAACAGTACCTGGAGAAGGACATCATGCTTGGTAAAGTAAGAGGGTCAGCAAAAAAGAGGAAGACCCTCAATGAGATGGATTGACACAGTGGCTGCAACAGTGGGCTCAAGCATAGCAACGATTGTGAGGATGGCGCAGGATGGCAATGATCCGTTCTGTTGTACATATGGTTGACTTGATGGCACCTAACCACAACAACAACATATGCTGTTCAAGAAAAAGATCTAAGACGTAATAATACCGAAAGGTTTGAAAATAAAGGACAAAACATACTATCCAAGCACTAACCAAAAGAAAGCTGTTATAGCTATATTAATAGTAGACAGAAGATAAGGTATAAAAGCATTAATTGAAATAAACAGTTAGTTCATAATAATAAAAAGGTTCATTTCACCCAGAAGCTATAACAGTTCTAAATATTTCTACATATTTTTTGGTGAATTTTAAACTTGCTCTATTATTGCTAACGTTTCTAAACCAAATGCTCTCTTTCTAGTTTCATGCTGTCAGCAAAATTTTCAAATTATTTTTCTTCATAATCTGTGTTCAGCTGATTTCTTATATACTGTGAATAAACCCATTATTAATAATGATCCTTGTAGCAATTCATTTGTATTTACTAGTTCCTTTGTAATCAGTTCTTTTTATTTCTATTCTTGTTTGGCCAAGGAACAGGGGTATTGGCTAGCAGTTGAGAATGATATTTGCTATTAAATTATATAAATTTACTATACATATGAACATAATTACTATGGCTGATACAGTTTACAAAGCTGTCTCTGTTCAAAATCCTATTTCTTAGTCCTTGAGTAAGCCAGAAGTTAAGAATTAACTGTCCATAGAAGCAGAAATATCCACACATCTTAATTCCAACCACCTTGCCTTTCCTTTTGCCTCTTGTGACTTATCACATTTTGGTTTATGACTAATAATCCTAAGCTATTTCTTTGGTAAGTCATAGCTGTGTTACAATGCTTGAGGCTACATAGTTTTCCCAAATACATAGGTCTCAGAATACAAGTATAATCTTTTTGGAGTTTAGGTAACAGTGTGTGAGATATTACCAATTTATCTTGAAACAGGATACATTCCACTCATTGACTGATTCAAGAAACATCTACTTGGTGCCTAGTCTTTGATAAGCACTATTAGCAAAAATATTATAAAACTTATTATAAAATTATATTGATACTTATTGACAGGATAATAAATTCATAATCCACCCTTTTTGTTTCTTTCCTCAGAAATCCAAACATTTAATTAAACTTCTTTTAAATGGGGGGAGAAGGAAAGCATTTCCCAAAGAAAGATTAGCAACATTCTATAGGCAATGAGAAAATGAATCAATGAAAATCTTTAAATTTTTCAGGATGAGAGAGACCCAGACAAAGAAGAGGAACTGGAACTGAAAAGAGGTCTTTTTTACAGGGACTCTGCCTATGATAGTGACCCCGAGTATAGGTATGAGCTTGGTTAATGCTGTGTTTAGAGATCTTTCTCATAGTTGAAATTTAAAAAAAAAAAAACCTGTTTATTAATCTGCTAGATTTGTGGGAAATTTAGACTTAGTAATTCATTTCTGTATCTTAAGCTATGTAAAATCCTATTAAAATATTTTAATGTTTGCCTACTGAATCTTTTCAAGGAAAACAAATATAGTCAATTAATTGTTATGCCTTTGATTCTACTAAAGATTTATCGGGTATTTGGCTGCTCTGCAAATCTATATATCCAGGAATTTTTTCAGGATATATTTATTGTAGCCTAAACAACAAGTTTCTGTAATTTTAGACCACGACTAACCTTTTTTTAATAATATAAAAGTAAATTCTCTTCTTCTGTCCTGAAATTTCAGGAATGTGTGTAATAAAAATTTTCAAAGTTATACTAGCAAATCCCATGAAGACTTTTGAAAGCTCTGTGTTAATTGCCATAAAATGTAATACAATAAAAGACTTGAAAAATATAAATATATTAAAAACCAAGTGTAAATTATGAGCTTATGTAGCCAAAGGTTCTCTAACTCCTTGGATGCCATGCCACTGCTTACTGTATGGCTTCCACCTTATTGACATTCCTGAGAAAAAATACAAGAAGAAAATTCCAGGTGGTGTGATATATTTTATTATTAACTGGGGTTTTGGACTCAAATCTCTAATTTTTACCTTGGTAAGATAGGCTAGGAGCCTTGGTGGTGCAGTGGATAAAGCACTTGGCTGCTAACCAAAAAGTCAACAATTCAAACCCGCCAGCTGCTCTGCAGGAGAAAGATCTGGAAATCTGCTTCTGTAAAGATTTCAGCCTTAGAAATCCTATGGGGCAGTTCTACTCTGTCCCATAGGGTCCCTGTGAGTTGGAATGACTCAGTGGCAGTGGGTTTTGGTAAGATAGGCTAGACCATCTATGAACATGTGAGGACTCCTCCTTTTGCCCCTTTACACAGATTATAAATGTGGCTTTCATTCTCTAAATTACCTAGAGAGTAGATTGTTCTTGTATTGATAAGCATCCCAGTTGTGAGTGCTTAAGCTATATAATTCTAATTTGACTGAGAAGTGAGTAGGATTGATAGAGGAAAGAGTCTTAGTAATGATTTTCAAATTGTTGTGTACATAAAAATCAACTGGGTTGCTTGTTAAAAATACAGAATTTCACTTCCTATCCTCATAGATTCTAGTTTCTTACATATTGGGGTCAGAACTGGAAATATGCATTTTATAAAATATCATGGATGATTCTAATACATGCAGTGTAAGGGCTACATTACAAAAAAAAAAACAAAACAAAACATTGCCATCAAGTCGGTTCCAACTCGTAGCGCCCTCATACACTTTTGAAAAATACTGCCCTCAATTTAAAGTTTGCTGTAAACCTCACTATTGGTTCTTTTTTCCAGTTTACCAAGCAATGTTAATGACTAAGCTTTTTACTACTTCAAGAGTGTTTTGGTACCTCTCAAATGAAAGAGTTAAGCAGAGTATCAGAAAAATTCTGCTTGCACATTTGTGAGATCACTTTGTAATCCTTGACATTTCTCTCATATCCCTACTTGGGGCCAGTAGGGTAGAATGGTTTAGTCTTCCAGGCCTTTTATAAAAGCGTCTTGATATTAGCTGCGGAAGCTATTGAAATGATCAGGATATTGTTTTTGTTTTATCTCCAAGTCACACTATATACTAGGCCAAGAAGTCATTCCTATTCTATTTTCCATTTCAAAGATGAGAGAATCAAAGTAATTGCCCCTTGCTAGCCTTGAGATTTCTATGAGCAGAAGTCAAGAGGGAGTTTGGGGTCTTGGCTTAGTATCACTCCTCTGCAGACAGCCAGTGACACCGGGTCGAGAGAAAGTGTGTAGACTTCTAGAATGGCTGAGTGAGGAGCTCAGGAAACCCTCTCCCCCAAAAGCAATAACAAAACTATACAAAATTGTTAAAAAAAAAAAAAAAAAAAAATTTAAGGACTCTGGAAATTGACCAAAGGCAGAATTGAAGAAGTTTTTATTGAAGAAGTGTTTATCATGAAATTCTACTGAACCTCAGTAAGAACAATGGGAGTCTGTGGCATTTTAAGCCTGGAGCTACTCCTATGCCCACCTTCATCTTTCAGTTCCATGGCACAGAAGTTCTACCAGGGCAGGCAGGCTGGTACATCAGCAGCTGTGCTTCCAGAGGGGACTGGCTTTATATGGAACAGACGTGGAAATCCCATTTACAGGGGACTTCTTTTAATGTTTTATAGTTCCTGTTAATAATAAAGGAGTCCTGGTGGTGAAGGTTAAGAGTTCAGCTGCTAACCAAAAGATTGGCAGTTCAAATTTACCAGCCACTCCTTGGAAACCCTATGGGGTAGTCTACTCTGTCCTATAGGGTCGCTATGAATTGGAATCAACTCGATGGCAATGGGTTGGGGTTTTTTTTTTTTTTTTTTTGATAATAACAAAAGGATATAAACATCAGTGTGTAATTTTTCCCTAAGCTTTTTTTCTGGTACTTGTTAGAATTCCCAATTATCAGACCCCATTTCTGACACACTGAATTAGAAATTCTTGGTGTGAAACTCAAAATCTGAGTTTTAATGAGCCCTCCAGGTAATTCTGATGCTTATTGACATTTGGGAACCACTGCTATGATTTATCAATAAATTTTAATTTTCTCTAATTTCATTTTGCCTTTGGCAAAGCACAGAATGCTTTTCAGATGTTATTAGACCATAATATAACCTCTCCTGATCATCTATTTTGAATTCGGAGGCTGAGAATACTTTCCTTCCTACCATCCATGCATCCCTCCCTCCTTCCCTCCTTCCCTCCCATGTCTGTAGAGCATATACCCTCAATACTGTTCTAAGTCCTTTGTCAATCAAAATTTTTGCTCACTAGGGACCATTATTGAGTATTATGGGAAGCAACTAACCTCTTACAGTATAATACATCTTTGATCATATTGACTTTTAGATCGTAAGTTTAAAATATAGATTATGTGTCATAATCCTTAAAGTTACTTTCAGCTTTGACTACAAAGGGCACACGGTCAGTGTTTTATTATTCTCATGACCTTCCAATTCTGTCATAGAATTAATATTCTTTGGGTAGCATTGCTTCTTGCTTTCCAACATTATCTTCCTTATATATCACCTTACTGTTATTTTACCTAAAGACTACTCATGGAAATCTGTGTTATAGACTTTGTATAAAGTGATAAATGGTCTTCATTTGATACTGATACATCATGAGAAATTATCATTTGTGTGAAGTGACACAAATATTTATAGCACTTAATAGCCAGAGTGTACCATTTTACCTGGCACAAACTTTATAATCTCTAACAGGCCTGAGAGGTCTAACCTATAACAAATGTTTCATTTATTGAAGCAGGTCAGTTATGTATTAAAGAATAAGTAAATAAACTCAGTCTTTGAAGGAGTCAATACTTTAAATATGTTAGCCCAGAATGTAATGCCTATACTAGTAAAATTGTAACTTTGGTATCTTCATAAAAGTACTGTCAAGACTTCAGAAAAAGTTGCCTTTTCTTCACTATTCCAATACAACTTGCCTAGTCCTAGTCTATTTCATTAACTTCCTATACGCTCTCTTTTTTCTTTTTCAAGACTCAAAACTACAGTGGATCCCTACTATCACTTCAAATCCAGACTTTTCTTATTTTCTGTCTTCTACTAATGATTCATAATCAGACTAATTTTCTGTTCCTCCTTGAGACAATAGCTGCATGTCCCATTAGAAAGGGCTTTAGAGCTACAGACATGGTCTGCCTTCCCATTCTACCACTTAGCAGTTGAGTAGTCTTAGACAGGTTAGCTTAAATTCACTGAGCCTCTACCAACCTCAAAGGGGATAATCCTTGTGAAACTTCTTGATAAATGTATATGAAGTACCTAGTTCAGGGCCTCCTATTTTTTAACTCCTATGTTCAAGGTAAGCCCTATACCAGGTACTTAGCATATATTCTGTTTTTTGAAGCAATACTGCAAAATACAGTTAAGGAAGCTGAGGTTTGAGTGATTAAGTAAATTGTCCAAGATTCCACAGCTAATAAAGGATTGGGCTGAAATTGAGTTCCAGGTCTGCCTGACTGTAGAGGCCTTGCACTCATACTGGCCATACCAGACCATTTGTATTCTGTTTTTATCGTGTCATGTCTGTCTACTCTGAATTCCTTCTTAACTCTTGGTCTTTTGTGCAAAATTTTCATCTCAGTTTTTTGAAAGTGTTTCATGCAAATGGATCTGCTTCCCCTTCTAGAGTGTTGCTTTTCGAAGGCACAGGCTTTTTTGTACTTTATTTTGCATAGCCCCAGCAGAGTATCACAAACCCATAAAGTGTTCAATAAGTATTTGACTTATATAGTACTATCTGTAGTTTCACATGGTTTTTCATCTTTTGTATTCTTTTTTGATAGCTCATTTCAACGGTCACGTGGCACTGCCCATTTGGATGATGGTGAATACTGGTCTAACAGGGCAGCTTCTTATAAAGGAAAACCCCACCGACCCATCTTTGAGAACAGCATGGACAAGATATACAGGAACTTATACAAAAAGGCCTGTAGTTCTGTTTCTCATACACCAGAAAACTTCTGAGGCCATCCATGATAAACTATGAGTGTCCGTGTCAACTTCTCAATGAAAACGTTTGACGTGATCAATATCTGTATTTCTTTTTTTTTTTTTTGAACAGGCGGTTCTAATTGAGTAATGAGACATGAATAAGTTCATTACTTCAAATGGTAAATTATCATAGGCAAGTCTTTTTGATTACAGAAGAATATTCCACCTTCCAAAAGTCAAAGCTCTGGAACATAATGAGAACTTCCAATTTGATTGTGACAAGGTTTTTCTGTCCCGTTTGTATATCTCTTTATTTCACCACCTACAAATCCAAGAATAGGTTTCTCTAGAAATACTCTTCTGCCTTAACCACTGTATAATTTTCGTTTCTTCTGCTTGACTGATTATTTTGTCCAGGTAAGGTTTAATTAATATTAATTCCCTCTTCTTGGTAATTAGTAAAAATATATATTGTACAGAAATGAATTCCCAAGAGTTTAAACTGTTTTAACTGGTATTTTCTACTTTTTTCTCCCCTAGAAAGGGCTATTTATATTTCTTGGCTGGTAAAAAATAGTTGTTTTTTTTTTTTTTTTAAAGTTTATATGATTATTCATTCCCTTTTCTCTGAAAGAACTACCTATGGGACCTAAAACGCATAATAGTTAGCTAGAAATAGCAGTATCTATATATAATCCAAAACTTGAATAACTGATTTTTAAAGGTAGGAAATTTTTACATGATTTTTGTTTTGTGCTTCATTTTTTGGTGCAACCAGAATCAGAAAATAATCTTTGTTAATAAGCTGGTAGAGACTGAAAATGAATAATTTTAGTTCTTTGGAGTTTTCATTGGTACCACATGGCCCAGGAAAGTAGTATCCTTGTTTAGAGAAAAGTACACTTAGAACCAGAAAGAGGAATGACACACACAGACACACCTGTGAGGCCAGTGACCCTTTGAGATATGAAGAAATCAGCTGCTTCATATTTACCAAGGAGTGAGGGGAAACTAAAAGGAGAGTAGGAAATGAGTGAACCATAGTCGTAGTACACACTAGCATGTACTAAGAAGTCCTGGTGTAAACCTGTTTGCCCCTGGTATTTAGTACAGACTCTGGGATATAGTTGGTGCTCACTAAATATTTGTTGAATTAAGCAGAATTTCTTAGCACTCACTTCCAAATGCCATCCTCAGGAACACATGGACAGCAATTGGGAAATGCCAGACCACACGATTGCTTAAGTACCCTCTGCTTCTAGCCTATGTGATGATGTTTTACACACTGGCTTTTGAAGATCAACATTGAATAATGCTGTTCATATTATATCCTTAGTGAACCTTAATGTGTTTTTCTGTGAAGACCAAATGAAAAATACCTGTTGAAAAGTTGCTACTTAGTGAAAAGAACAAATATAAACTTCAAAGAAAATGTTTTACTGTCACAGAAAACCTCCCGAGGGAGTAAGTACCACAGAAATTACATATTGCTCCAATATCTGCCATTGGCTATGACAAAGAACACAAAAATTGGGGCTCAAAGGGAAACTGGTATTCTGATAGACATTTTCCTGTGAATTAAGTTTAGTATCTCTCTGAAGTATTGGGGGCAACTTTCCAGATATGTAGCATCTTTGCTAAGCATCTGATTATTTTTTGTTCCTTGAGGGAAGGAGTGGTCTTCATTGCTCTCCCTAACTATTACTATGAGTTCTTATGTTGTATTATCTTTAGAGTAAAACTGTTAAGTGCTAATAGTTGTCTTTTCTTATTGATAGAAGCAGAAAAGTACAATTGTTTATTCTCCTAGCTTTTTTCTACACTTCTCCCAAATCCAGTAATAGTCATTTTGCTTACTGTGAAAGATAAATAAGATTCATATCTTCCTTTTAATGTACGTTTTCCTGTAAATAATAGTGAAAAAAAAATCTGGGAATTTTAGAAAGGAAAATGTCAAATTCAGCAGAGACAGCAGAGATGAATCTTTGGATGAGAGTGAGTCGTCCCTGGTTCCACTACTGGTTATATAACCTCTTTTAAGTCATTTATCCCTGTTGGAGCTTAGTTTTCTCATCTATAAGGTTAAGGGATTAGTTTAGAATCATCTTCTAATGTTTCATCATTTCTATAACTGTATAATTGATTAACAAGGAGGATCAGGAAATCCTGGATAACAGAGTTGTGACTTCAAAGATTATGCCCCTGGTTAAAATTCTAGAGTAGAGAATTGTAATTAATGTGTTCATTTTTATTATAACAGCTTTGTTGAAATATAATTCACATACCATAAAATTCATTCCTTAGAAATATACATTTGAGTAGTTTTTAATATATTTATGGAGTTGTACAACCATTACTACTGTCTTAATTTGAGAACATTTTCTTCATTCCAAAAAGAAATCCAGTACCCATTAGCAGTTACTCCCCACGACTTCCTAGCCCCTTAACCTCGAGCAATTACTAATCTACCTTCTGTCTCTATGGGTTTGCTTTTTCTGGACATTTCAGATAAAAGATATCACAGTATGTATCTGGATGCTTTAATATAGCATAATGTTTTCTAAGTTCATCCATATTGTAACACGTATTAGTTCTTCATTCCTTTTTATTTATGAATATTAATGTGAATTACTGCATTTGGTTTATCAGTCCATCAGCTGATGGTCATTTGGGTTGTTTCTCCACTTCTTGGGTGTTAAGAGTAATGCTACTGTGATCCTGTGTGTACAAGTTTTTGTGTGACCATATGTTTTAATTTTGCTTAGATTTACCCTAGGAGTGGAATTGCTGAGTCATATGGAAACTGTGTTAAACAATTTGAAAAACTGCCAAACTGTTTTCCAAAGTGGTTGTACCATTTTACAGTTATTATGTTTATTTTTATTTTACCTTACGATCTCAGGCTAATTACACATTCAGGCATTCGTCCATCCACCCATCACACATTTACTGAGCACTCTACTAGATGTAGAGGATGTAACATTTTAAAAGATATCTTCCTCAAAATATGTAATCTGTTCAGAGAGTAAAACAATAGTGTGCTTAAATGCTTAGATTTATTTGATAACTTTTATGATAAAAGATTGCAAGAATGGGGAGAAGGGCCTCATAGCTTGATGAAACAGAGCATGCAAAGGCACGAAAATGAGAGCGCGCATGATTGTTCAGAAAATTCCAAGTCCTTTAGCTGGAGGTGGTGTGCAAGTCTGCAAATACTCTGATGGACTATGACAAGTGCAATAAGAGAACTGCAAAGAGAATGATGAGCCTGGAGCCACATTTGAAAATGATAGAAAGTTAATGGTAGAAAAGACTAAACGTGAGGTTTCAGCTGGGTAGGCCTTGAAAGATGGGAAGGAATTTGGAGAGCAGGAAACCAAGATGGAGTAAAGTAAATTTTGTGCACGTTTTACAAAGGTGAAGGTAGGGTTGAGGAAAATGTCATATAACTTGGGAGAACTCAAGACTATAGAAAGGGATTTTGAAGTCAGATAAGAATAAATGAAAGTCCATGCTGCTTTTGTCCTAATTTTTATGTGACGATAATAGACACCGTAAGAATAGTGAAGTTTAAACAATTGCCATTTTGGGGGATTAATGAGGCATTGGTAGTAGAGAGTTAGTTTGAGGGGTCACTGTTTTAAAAATTAAGAAAGATAGCCTGCTTCCCACCCCAGATTTTCTAACTAGCTAAAAATTCATGTACAAAATGAAGAGGTAAGAGAATTTCCAACTTTTTTGAGTCATTGAGTGAATTATCATGAGTTTATATCTCTGAATGATGCACTTTGAGTTTAATTACATAAAGTTCCCTCAGACAACCAGATCTTGTGACTGTTTATCCATTCAGCAAACATTGTTGTAGACAGTCTGCAAGGCACTGACTGGTAACCCAAAGATAAACAAAAACACAGTTCCTGACATGAATTTGTGACAGACACTTATGCAAATACATATTACATAGTAAGAAAAGTACTATAATAGATGACAGAAATACTGTAAGAGCAAAAAAAGAAGGCCTGATTAAGAGGAGTCATATGCTTCAGAGAGGGATAATAATTGCAATTAGTTGATATTCTGTCTAGCTGGCCTGGATAGCATTAAGCCTTAGAAAATCACTTGGTAGGTTTGTAAAGTAGGAGGGAAATAACCCAACACAGAACAAATGTGAGCTTTCTTCTCTGCTGCCACAACCTACATTGTTCTCTGAAAGTTAATTAAGAAGTCCTTGCTCTCTTCTTTATAAAAAATAACTGCTTTTAAGGGAAAAAAGTATGTCTGTAAGACACAGGAAAGTGCATTTTGCTATATTTCTTTAGATCACCTCCAGGGAAGTACTGAACATGAGAGTTAGTGAGATAAATCGGGGTTCCTGTACTCAAGGAACTTGCCCTGATTATTGATGGAGGGACAGACAAGTAAATTCTTATGTATGGATTTAGTATCTATGAATTTACTCATTTTTACTCTGTCATACTCTTTGTAGGCTCTTTTAGCAAGGCTCATTTCTTCATGTTTTCATTATCTTTGTATCCGAGTACCACAACCTGTCACCTCATAGCATCTGGGCATATCTTTATTATAGCACTTAACAAATCAATTTATCCGTGATTTTCTTATCTCTCTCCTTCCATTGGTCAGTGATCTCAGGCCTTGTTCACCTCTGCATCCCCTGACACACAGTAGGTGTTCAGTCAATGTTTGTTGAATAACTGAATGAAAGAAAAAATATATGAAGGGCCGTTGAAAGCAATGCAAAGCCTAAGTCTATCTGGATATAACAGGTAAGAGTAGTGAGAAAAAAACCTGACAAAACTCCTGCCAACAGCCAGTCTCTCTATACATTTAGCCAAAAGAGATAAAGATGAAAAAGATGAGAGAAAAATATTTGTTGTACCATGGTCCTCAAGAAGGAAGAAATGACTGCTCAGTGAAATCTATTTTAAGAAGAATACTCGTAAATTAAAGTTACGATATGATTGCCTGTCTTTTTGTTTGTTTCTTGGCTAACCAACTAAGATGCACAGAGCTCAGGTGACATGGACCAGCTCCTAAACTGCTGCTGCAGGGGGTGATAAGAATAGTGTTAGGCAATGAACCAAGGAAGCGATTGCCTGTAATTGTTTAGAGCACCTTATACTCCAGTGCAGTTTAAATCCCTTCTATGAAATGCAAATTTCCTGGTTCCCAAGATGAACCTTAAATATTATTTTCTTTCCCAATTTCTTATCTTTTGTCATTCACAAAGCAGAGCATTTCTGACTGAAGGATTGAATAATTCTCTGTCTTTTAGCCTTCAAATGTAACCAACTCACTCATTCTAGAAACTGTGGTTAACTCTCTAGATTAATTAAGAATTTGTATCTGTGGTAAGTAAGGTAGTTATGCAAATATTTAAGCAAATATTCAAGGAGATGCAGCCCTGTTTTTTTGTTTACTGATGTCTTTAATTTTAGCATGTTGTGTGTAAGCCGGGTTAATTCACATAAATGAGCCTGATAGAATGTATTCTACTCTAGTTGATACAGCATATAAATGTTTGCTGGGTTATTTTGGGGTGAGTTTGTTTGTTTTTATACTCTGTCTCCATCTTAATGACTCCTTTAAAGTTCTTAAAACAAAGGACTCAAACTAACATTTATTAAGGCCCTCCATCTTATTTGGTGATTGACATATATTATCTTATTTCATCTTCACAGCAACTCTATGAGCTAGGGGTTGGTATATGCAATTTCAGTTTTACAGACTAGGAAATTGAGGGTTAAACTTGTGATTGGTCAGTGATTAAATACAGCTAGTAAATGGTGAAGTTTGGATTTGAGCCTAAATCCAACACTGCCTCTCAACTGGATACCAAACCCAAACCAACCAATTGCCATCGAGTTGATTCTGACTCATAGTGATTCTGTAGGACAGAGTAGAAACTGCCCCACAGGGTTTCCAAGGAGCAGCTGGTAGATTCGAACTGCTGATCTTTTTAGTTAGCAGCCGAGCTCTTAACCACTGCACCACCGGGGCTCCTTCAACTAGATGAGTTCTTAAAAAACTCGGCTTGTTACAGCTCATGAGTTTTTAAATGGTGGAGTATCTCTTCAGAAAGAACCTCAATGGATTAAAATGCAAACTGAACTCACTAATAAATCCTAGGACAAATTTCAAACATGTGAACACTAAAAAAGGGGTCTCTCATGAAATTAATGATGCACACACACACACACACACACACACACACACAAAAACAAGGGGGTGGAGAAAGGTTTATGTATATTTAGGTTTTTAGAAAGTTCCATTACCAAGAGGTTGACAGCAACATTGCATAGTAGAAAAACATTTCCTTCATAACTTTTCAGATCCTTATTTTTTTCCTACTTTTGAAATAGGATATTAATAAACATTACCCTCTGTTCCTCAGAGAAATATTAGGATTAAATGAGGAAATATATGTGGATGTTCTCTGATGTATGTTAGGCACTATAATATCTTGCTTTTATAAGTGATCTGGGAAAGGGAATTTGTGGTTTGAAAAATATTCTGGCATAATAGCAATACCTTTGGTTCTGGAGTTGGACAGACCTTGGATTTCTTTCTCTAAATTGTCACCTGTGTTCCTTAACCTTTCTGAACTTGTTTTTCATTTATAAAATGAGAGATATTTTCATAGAGTTGTTGTGATCATTTGAAGAGTTAGTGCCCATGGAACACCTAGTACAATGCATGGTGCTCAATGAAGGACAGCTGTAATTACTAAAATCCCAAGTCAATAAAGATAGTACTCTGAAAGATCTTCAGGGAAAAAAATGGAATATGAGCAATGTGAAGTTAGGAAAATACTCAAAATTATTTAAGTGATGAGACCAAATTATTCAGGTGTTCTTCGTATGGCCATTAAATTTACTAGTTATTTGTGTAGGATGTGCAGTATAATGGAAAGAGTCATAATCTGAGTTTGAATTCTGCACTGTGGTATATCTCATTATCTTAAACCTCAATTTTAATATCCATAAAATGGGAATAATATCTACGTAGGAGGATTACTGTGAATAATACCAGTATATGAGTTAAAAGATACAAAATGACTAGCATTATATCTGACAAATAGCAGATGTTTAAGATAATTTAGTACCATTTTTCTGTCATTAGTTTTATC